TGTTCTGAAACTGTTGGATCCCATTCCGGTTTTTTTTTTTCTATAAAGCTTATCATGTTGATTTCACAGAATCCTATAACAATGCTCAAATTTCATAACAGCATTATTATACTGAACACGATTTATACCACTGTATAATTATATATAGGCCTATATGAAATTGGTGAACTTATCCCTCTTCCCCCTCCCCCTCCCTTCTTGTTTCAAAAAATTCTGGATGCACCTTTGTTATATGTATTGAAATTAACTTATAATTTAACTAAGTGGATAATGCGTCATTGTTCAAAACCCTTATCATGTATTGTGTACGACCATTGAATGATTACATACTATACTAATGTGATATTACAGAAATCAGCTTTCGCAAGCAACGATAATGTCAAGGATAACCACTGTCGGATTGCCTTGCATTTGATTGGTCGGTTTAAAATAATATTATCCCATGAGGATTATCAATGATAGATTGCTTTAATTTGACTGGCTGGATTATAATTTTTAAGATAAGGCTGCCATTTTGATTGGTTAATAAGAATACTAAATGATAATTTATTACAAGTTGATTGGTTTAATAATGAAAATAACACTAACATTACACAAACAATATTGATACCACTTGATTGGTTGATAAAAATAACACTAACATTCAGGGATTGTCATTGATTGATTGCTCCTATTTCACTGATTAGAAAGAATTATGCTAACATAAAATAGATGATCACTGACAGATTGTAGGAATTTGAATTGTTGGCAGATCCATATGAGCAACAATCTACAGCTCATTCAAGTATAGGATTACTCTATACAATCACTTGGTAGGTTTTTGGGACATTGCATTAAAAATTTAAAAAAGCCTGCTATTGGAAAAATTATACTCACTGTGTACGACAGTCATCGGACAGCATGATTCTTAGAGAATGCAACGCCACGACGTACATGCAATAGATTGTTTTAATTACGATCCGTTCACACTGCCACAAATAATTAGAGGACGTTGTCAGTCGGCGGTCGTGTGACGGTCTTATTACGCAGTGTACGCCCAGATTTACCTCAACATATTAAACTGAAAAAGGTTCGGGAGAAGGCTTTTTAGAAGACTAATATTAAAAAATATAACTATAATTGACTAACTACTGCTATTGGTAGCGCTACATTCTGCTAATACTACAAGAGCTACTGCTACTAATTGTAGTTTCATTGCTACAATACAAGCTCTTTAGCTGATAATATTTGCACTTCTTGTAGTGTTGCTATTGTAGCATAAAAAAAAGGATATTAGGGAAAAGGATTTTTAGAAGACTAAATGAAAAAATATAACTATAATTGACTAACCACTGCTATTGGTAGCGCTACTTTCTGCTAATACTACAAGAGATACTGCTACTAACTGTAGTTTCATTGCTACAATACAAGCTCTTTAGCTGATAATATTTGCACTTCTTGTAGTGTTGCTATTGTAGCATAAAAAAAAAGGATATTAGGGAAAAAGATTCTTAGAAGACTAAATGAAAAAATATAACTATAATTGACTAACCCCTGCTATTGGTAGCGCTACTTTCTGCTAATACTACAAGAGCTACTGCTACTAACTGTAGTTTTATTGCTACAATACAAGCTCTTTAGCTGATAATATTTCCACTTCTTGTAGTGTTGCTATTGTAGCATGAAAAAAAAGGATAGGGAAAAGGATTCTTAGAAGACTAAATGAAAAAATATAACTATGATTGACTAACCACTGCTATTAGTTGCGCTACATTGTGCTATGCTACAAGAGCTACTGCTACTATCTGTAGTGTCATTGCTACAGTACTAGCTCTTTAGCTGATATTTCCACTTCTTATGGTGCTGCTACTATAGCATAAATATTAATAATTATAAATTATTTTAATCTTACAAAGCAGTTCCCCCTAGTATTCTATGTTCATCTTCATAGTTTATATAAATTGTACGTTTCCAAGTACTTCGAGTCATTCAGTCCATTTATTATCGGTCAAGAAAAAAAAATTCTGATACAACGAATGAGTCATCTACTTGTGAGCCTTAGGTATGGTGGAGTTGATCAATTAATTTCATCTGGTTCAAAATGTTCTAGGTAAATGTCCTGTAAGGGTAATGAAAAACCTCTAGGTTTACTCAGAAGAATTATCCTTTTACTTATATAGTAGAATTAATTATAGTTTGAAAAAAAAAAAATGGTCAGAAAAGTTATCCTTTACTTACATAGTGGAGTTAATTATAGTTTTAAAAAAATATTGGCATTTCAAAAGATTAGGAGGCACCACAAACTTAGAGCTGCTGTCTGTCTGTAAATAATATTTATTTATTTATTCAATATTTAACTAGGGTTGCCCAATAAAGTATAAAAAATAATGCAGTATAAAATGCAATTACAAAAATCAAATATCTTTACTGTTGCCTTAATGTTACTTTAAAAAATATTTAAAATTTGTTGAAGATTTGATTGTATCACTAAACTATTAAAAAGATTAGCACCTTGCCATTTGAAAGAATGTTTATAATAGCCTGTCTTAATAATAAGCTTTATTTTAACATGTTAAACTTGTTTTAACTATAAGTTGTTCTAGAACCACCGAGCCCTCACTGGGGCTTCAAATGCTGACAAAGGAAGTGGTAATGCTGGTTTCTCGGCATCACGATAGTTTGTATGATATTTACTTGCTTAGTTTGCCAAATTTTTCATTTTCCGCTATTCAATTTCTCAAGCACCTTGAGCATTCCTTTAAAATGTATATAAATGCTATACAAATCTTATTTATTATTATATTAGAAGCCGGTGTATAAAAAAAAAACAACTAAATAATTAACTAATTAAAATTAACAAAAATGAAAGTATGAAAAATAAACTACTATACAGTATAAATCTACCATTAATTTAAAAACTTAGTACGACTTAAACTAAATGCTCAAAGGTTGTAGCTACACAAAGGTTGTAGCTACAAGTAAATTAATATAAAGAAAAATCGACTTACTGTATGCTAATGAATATTTGAATAAAGGAACTGTTTGATACAATTCAAGTGCCATATTATTACATTATTAACCTGACACCAATGTAACTAATTGCCGTAAGTACATTTTTCCATCTGTAGATATTGCGTTACAAGTATTAGGTACAGGCAATCAATATTCAGAATGCAACATTTCCTATTGTCTTACGCTATTGAAATTCGCTGCGCCGCCTTAGTAAAAGCCACAGCATACAAGATAAATTTCATAGGGGTTAATAGTAAGGGTGAGTCAGCAGCCAGCTTGGCATAAAAGATGAAGAAAGAAAGATATTTATTAATCTTGGTATCTTTATTGCTATCAAATTAAAAATACAAATGCAGCTAAAAGCTTAAATTGGAATATTCTTATTACAAAAATCTTGTGCAAATAAATTGTTATACCTAGATGTTTTTTAGTGGCGAAAGTCGTACGTTGTACATTCGACAGGCGGGCAGTGGTAATGGTATATGGTTGGGGACTTTTATAGCACATAATACGTGGTCCTTATGCACTGTAGGCCTATATATTCTGAACATATGGGTTGGTTCCGTGGGTATGACTTGATTGGCTACGATTTGCTCAATTCTTCATGATTAAATTAAATAATCGCAAATGCCTAGCAAGATACTAGCTCATTTACATATTTTCAATAACATATTTTCTTTTATTGGGGCTGCTTACCCAAACTGAATTATGAAATGTAATTACACATTTAACCATAGATTGGTAGAACATTTGAATCATGAATATTCAATAAATTATATAATAAGTATGGTGTCAACTAGCTAGTATTAATATGCTAGTTAAAGATAATTAATGTAAAAAATTATATACAATTTCTGACAATACAAGTAATGTCAGAAATGCAGTGGTAAGGTCATGATTTATGATTTACAAAGCATGCATCATGGACTTCGACAATTAGCGTTGAATTTAGATACAGGTTTTGATAGCAGATTCATATAATTTTTCATAACATAAAAATATTTAGAAACCACTAAAATGAGATGAAACAGCATTGGTCAGGGACAGGTAAATCAAAGTTATATTGTAACTCGTTGAAAAACCCAAAGTAATACTGTAACTCACTGACAAACCAAAAACCAACTGTGCTTAACAAAAATCAACTGTGTTGTTAACCGACTATGTCTAAAAACTGAGTGTACTTAAAAATTTGCCTTTTTTGCGTTCCATAAAAAAATGAGGACCATTTTATTTTTACATTATGTCTAGGCTTTGAAATAAGCGTAATTATAATACGGACAATTTAGTTGACAAGAATACCAAAATATTATGAAAAACAATGCATAGTTTTATTTCTAAACAGTGTGATGTTAGTATTGGTAGTGATAGCGTTTTTATACAGTGATATCACTTCCAACAAAATTCTGAATGAGCGTTTATCATAGCAAAAGGTGAACGCAATATTTCAGCATCGTTAACTACATGTGTTTCAACATAATGCATGGCGTAGGATGATATGACCTTAGCTATAATGCAAATTGCAGAATGAATCAGTGGGTGGATAGTCATTATGTAGACCATAAAGAGCACAGGTTCAATCCATGAGATTTCATTTAATTTAATGATTTCCTCCTATTCTTTCCATGTCTCAATTACTTTTTTTTTTCATATCATACATACATACCATTACAAATTCTCTTTTCAAGTTGATGGATATAATTACTGTTCTATTATTTTTATTATTCTCTCAAACCACTATGTGTTACTCGGTGCATAAATTAGTACGGTGCATGCTTTATGGTACATTCCACATGGTACATACTGGTTAACAATTGAATAGCTGAAATTTCTACAAAGGAGATTCACCAACAGGAGGGGAGAGTCATGGTCTTCAGTCACTTATTTTTTTAGGCAAAATACATTTTGAATCATCTCAGAATACCATTAAAAAAAATAAATTTAATGCAAGAATGATATAAAAAAAAAAAATTTAATGCAAGAATGATATCAAATATGGATATTTTACATACCTCATCCCATCGATCAAATGTATTTCCTTCCCGCATGAAAGGTGGAATAGGAACTTGCCATTTGAACTCATACAACTTGGCCATCGCTGGGATTTAAAGGACAATTCTGGGTGGGCAAGACACAGGCCCTGATGCACCACTACTGCACTGTACCTGTAATAACAAACATAGATATAAATTTACATATTTATATGAATATTTATAAGTGAAATAACAAATATATTACCACCATTTAAACAAATTAAAAAAATGGCATTCAAAGATGGCATTCTAAAAATAAGCAGTATTCACCAACAAAATGATTGAGCTCTTCCCCAACTAGTTCAGTAGGGGGTTCTGCGCCCCCTGGATCCTATGCCCCCTGGATCGCCTGCTGGCCAGCCCAATAATTGTATATTATACAATAACCAAAGATAAACAAAGAAACCTCCTGTATTATGTAAATGTATGCAATTTATTTTTTGGCCTAAATGTTGAATGAGTTACTGTTAGTTTTATGTACTGTATGTAAAGTAGCCTGAGGCAAGGTACATTAAACTATTTTTAATCCTACGAGTGTGGTATAAAAATTCTACATTTTATATACTGTACATGATTAAAAGAATGTTTTATTGTAATTGTGTTTAAAAACGTGGTAATATAATTGGGTTTTGAAGCACACATAGTCAGTGCACCTGGAATTTTTGCGGGGGCGAGAGTGGCACTTAACGGTCTATGGTTCAAGGGAGGCAGTGCAATGTTTATCTTTATTATTATCCCTATTATTTTTTATCTTGTCTATATACTTGCCCTTATATTGTATTTATCAATATATCTTTATCTTTTCCTTTAATATTGTCCTTATATTTTGTTCATCTAGTCTGCATGTTAAAGTTATTCTTACTGTGCATGTTTAATCAATTCATCTCCTTCTAAATATTTTTATATGTACTGGTATATTATCCTTCACAACAAAGAAAAATCATCAAAAATTATTCTTGTAATATAATATCCTTTACTGTATTAGTTACATTTTCATTATTCTATCCATTACCCCATAGTCCATCAATTTCGCTATCTTTTTTCCTAATTAAAAAACAAGTTGATTTTCAGGGGAAAATTTATCTTTTTTCCTACCGGAAAATAATGAAAAACTTTACATGAATTATCAAATTTCTTACAATAACACATTTCTCAATTTAAACATAATTTTTTGGTAGATTTATCAGGGAAATGAAAATGAGACATGGAACAGTATTCCCACATCTGCAGCTCTGCTTGAACTATAAGTTCAAGAGAAAATAACATTCTGATTATAATTACACAATGACGTTGAAAAATTTCCTTCCTCCATGGTTGAAGAGTGTATTATTGACTGTTTGCGTTATCTTATCCTTAAACCAAGGAAACGGACTGTAACGAGCACCTGTACAGTGGATTTAGTCTCAATGGTAGATTTCATGCATCAGCAACTTCATTATTAATGTATTCATTGAGTATATACATCATACAAAGTAATCTAAAAAACTTGACAAAAGCATCCTTATTGTCATCTTCCTGCTAATCACCAGCTGTTTTTTACTGCAAGAGTCAAAATTTCTACTGCCACAAACATGATCTTTTATGATTTAGATTCAAAACGTCGTCAAAATCACCTAGTACGTCTTCGCCCTACATGTGCAACAACCTTGAATTACTTCTGGTCTAATTAAACATCACTCTACTCAAAGAAAATGCTGATAATTGTTTGTTTATTATTCAAGTCCTAAAAATGTCACCCATGATTAAACAAATTTAGGAAAAGGTTTTTGGATTCTCTGCAGAAGACTAGCCCATTATCTTTACCTTTTGACCGCAAACAATCGTAAATATCAATTGGAGTGAAATTGAAATTGTGTCAATCTTCCATCAACATATAATCCTTGATGTATATCACTTAAAATAATGAAAATATGGTAGCAATAACAACCATTAAAATATTAGAAAAGGTTAAATAATCAAAGGTAATGTACTGTATATTCTGACAACTGATTACCGAAAAGTTTAAATTATATAGTTTATATTGCAAGAAGAAATAAAATCGTGTGTCTATTAATAAACTTGTATCACAAAGCAGTATTCACTGTCATAAAGAAAAATCGTTATCTATTTATTAACACATTATTTTGAAATGTTGAAAATTTTATCAGCCATACAGGTATATTTTTAACAAGGCCATTTTGAAGTAAAAAACGCCAAATGACAAAAATACAGTTATTTCTAATCAAACAGGGGGGGGGGGGGGGTTTACTAAGCGTTTATGATTTTGGTTGCCGTAAGGTCAAGCACAAACTGAGTTGGCGCACTGTATACCTATTGGCATAAAGTGCTGTCTGACAATCTAGCCTAAGCGGGTCGTTGTTGAAATTGAATTGGCCATCAAACATGAATATTTTTCACTAAGCAACGTTCTCTAATAAGTGCATTGCAACACTGGCCCCCTTGATTTGTTATTTACGGTAAGAGTACTGGTGAAGTTAGAAAATGATGTGATACGCCACCACCGACCATCAACCAATGAATCCATCTCCGCTCTCTGTGTGCGACTGATAATGCGAAGACATCTGCTGATTGTCGGTAACAGTGTAAGCTGATCACCATAAAAATGTATCTGTTGCACGTGCCTCGTTACATTCTCCATTGCACCGACCAATGAAAAGCAGACCAGTGTGCGCCTAGCTTTAGATGGAAAGCAACGTATAAATATCAACAATTATTTTATTATTATCTGCGCTATTTGTTTAGCTATATTTCCTCCTAATATCTGTATTTTCTCGTAGCTTTTTGCATAGATTCATAGTTCTGTTTCAGAAATCCTTGTCAAACTCATTTGTTACAGTCCATCAAGATCAAATTAACCTAGTTCTATTTTAAATCGCTCACTGACAAGCTCCAACAATTTCTAATTTTACTCTCAATTCTGTTCTAATAAAAAAAAAAATTGGGCAGGAAAAAAAAAAATCAATGTATGAATTGCTTAAGTATAATAATAATTGTAGACTTACAATGCATTATGATAAGACCTCTACTATATGATAAGACCTCTACTGTATGCATTTCACATGATCTTTAATACAGCGGTTATTGGATTAAACACCTATTGAACACCAACCCAGATGGGGGGGGGGGGTGTGGAGTATTCCATAACGTTGTAGTAGCTGATTAATGCTTTTGACATTTTAACCCTACCTTATTCACACAATTCTTTTTCCCCCTTTTAAATGTGTAATCACATTTTTTTTTTTACACTTCTATGACGTATTGTTTTGATGCCTCTTTTGTCTGTATTTTAAAGTTTTAATATTTATTAGAATTTTTACCACCTTTATATTGTCTTTATTCCCCCAATCTTTTTTATTATCAAATTTGTATGTTGTTATTTTATTATGGAATCCCTTTTACTGTTATCGGTCCCTCTCCAGGCAAATGTTTATCACGTTTTTTTGACTTTTTTTACAAATTGTTTTAATGCCTTTTGTCTGTATTTTAATGTTTTTTTATACATTCAAATTTTTACCATACTGTATCAAATCGATGTACTTTCATGTTTATAATTTGTTTTATGTAGGACCCCATTGGGAATAAGGTTTACTTTTTAAAGAAAACTTTCTAGGGCCATCCTTGCATTATCTTGTTTTTATTTGTTTGTCCTGCCTTGTGTGGATTTTATCTGTTTTGTAAAATATTTTGATGATGTGATATAAACAGATCTGAAAATTTAAGGTACCCATTTATACATGGATGGAGAGGACGAATCCAGGTAAAGTGCCTTGCTCAAGGACACAAGCAAAATACACAGTGAAGGATTGAAACCCTGACCTCAAGGTTGGGAAACCAAACTGGTTAGCTTTTAATATGTTAATCTTGCTAATTAACATTGACGTACAAAATTTCGTCCCTATATTTTTTTTTGCAAACTGTAGGCACTTTAAATTGGCTAGTAATCAATTTATAGATATTAATAGTAAAAGTCTGTGAGTCAGTAAAAAGTGAATTATGTTGCTAAGTTTGATTGGACGTTATCTGACAAATAATAAGAATTATAGCATTCTGGAATAGTTTAATATATTTTTAAAAAATTTTAAATGAACAATTTAATGATTATTTTCCCAGATTTACATCATGCACTATCATTTAATTTTTTATTTTTTTCATTTCATCTTTTATTTCGGAAAATAAATACAGTATATTCCTATACAATATTCTCCATAGCTCAAAATTAATTAATTACATAGACCTATAATACAGAACCACAGTACATGATGTTAATGTCCCATTGTATTACCCATTTTTATTGTTCTTTATTTCGGTGTTGGAAAAAGGGCAGCTAGGCCATACATTAATCATTAATTAATCATTAACCATTAATAAGCAATACTGGTGATGACCAGGTACGTAAAGAACTAATTGTTAAATATTTTCACCATCTCACACTTTCATTGTTAATCGTAATTGTAAACATCTGTCTAACGTTCTAACCAGAAAAACAATCTTGTGACAGTACCAACGTCGCCTTCATATTTTGTTTGGGTCATTACGAAGCAGTACTTCAACACTAATGATAAATCATGCATAGTGGACATTCATTACTATTTAGCCAGGATATGGAAAAGCAAACAAATTACAATGCAGTACAACAAATCATGTAAAGACAATTAATGGTTCTCTCCAGAGACCTTTTTAAATACAATTAAATTGTTGATCAATTTATCAGTGATTAAGTTGAGTGGTTGACTGTTTAATTAATAGAATTTTTAAACACTTTTGAAAACTTTTAAAACATTTTTATGCTTCATGGGAGGTGCTTATTTGAGGGAGGTGTGTATTTTTTTGGGCATAAAATGGATACGTAACTTAAATAAATGGCAACAAAATTAATTGATAGAATTTTAAACATTTTTGAAAACTTTAAAACATATTTATGCTCCATGTAATATTGGTAAAAATGAATATCTTATGTACAGTATGATAAATACTTTCCATTTTATTAAATAATGTGCCAACTGACATTTACAATGTGTCAGCTTTCCAATTCAATACTGACTGAAAAGTGATTGTAAATATTAAGTGTAATAAATACTAATAAAAATATAACAAATATTATCATTACTCCCTTAATACAATTACCGGTACTG